GACTATTTGGGCCTGTGCCGAAGACTTGGTGTTGACGACATTCCCATCTTCCCCTCTTCTTCGTCTAACCCCCCTCTTCTTCGTATGTGTATGTTCGGGGCTGGCGCCTTCTTCCTGTCTGAGCGCCAGACCCCTTGACACCATGGAGATGACGATGATGATGTATGTTCTGGGCTGCATTGCAATATTGATTGTTCGGATCATTGGTATCCAAGTGTTCCGCTATTATATCTTGTACTTTGTATTGAGAGCTCGGTTCTTGTTGTGGTCTGCACCGTTACAGTATGCAACAGTCAGGTTCCTTGCAGTAACCCCGGACCCGGACACCGGACACTTCTGGACTGTCTTCCGGACCAGCGTCTGGACCGGTCCGGACCAGTCCGGACTGTCCGGTGATCCGGACATCACCGGACACCGGACAGTCCGGACCAGTCCCCGGGGTGCAAAAATGTCCGGACAGCAGAGCACATGTCTTGCAGCAAATCAACCAGCACATTTAACTAGCAGACATGCAGAGTTGCAAACAGTGCAAAGCAGGCACAAGACTAAAGAAACAGAGAATCTTTTATTGGAAAAAGTATGATTAACTTTGAACTTGAACTCTGAACTTTGGATTTAGTAATTCAAGTTCATAACTTCATATATAACTTCAAAGTTCGAACTTTGAAATTCAATTCAGAACGTCAGAGTCTTTAGTTCATATTACTTCATAACTTCATATATAACTTAGAAGTTCGAACTTTGCAGTTCAATTCAGAATGTCAGTCTTAAGTTCATGACTTCATATATGCAGTTCAATTCAGAACGTCAAACTCTTCAGACTGGCTGCACTGTCAGTGCTCTCTCTCTCTCTCTCTCTCTCTCTCTCTCTCTCTCCCCCCACACACACACACACACACACACACAAAGCGGGTAGCAGCCGCGGGCGCCACGTTGAAACGGCCGCTTCGCTCGGGCCTTTGCGAAACCCGCCACCCCAAAAACCTGCAGTGTCTTGTGTCCGGACCTCTAGGCCCTGTCCGGTGGGGTGTTCCCGTTATTTTTCGAGGGGAGGCCAGGACCCAACAAATGTCCTGGGCCGCCCGTTTTTGTTTTTTGTTTGTTTGCCCAAGGGGCCTCCATCCAGACATAAGGATGGGACACCAGACACAGGACTGTCTGGAACCTGGTTCGGACGTCTGGAGGGTGACCATGCTACAAACTTGAATCTACAGACGCTCGGGAAGGCCCTCATGGAGGTGGAAGTCACGCCACTGCTTTGAGGAATGTACATGTCCACTATGGGTGGAACGTGTGTGCTGTTGTTTCTTTTTTTGTTTCTCTTTTTTTTTTTCCCCTCCTGCCCTGCCATCCACGGGGTCACAAACTTGATAGCTCACATCAGCACTCTAGCATCCTGTATCGGACTGCGATTGCAGCGTAAGATAATTTCTTTTTTTTTTTAATGTCTGGGAAGGTTCTCACGGTGGTGGAAGTAACACCAGTGCTTTGCGGAATTTATCTGGTTAGTATGTGTGGAACGTGATTTTTAGTTTTTTGTTTTTCTCTTTTTTTTCCCTTTCTCCTGCCTTGCCAGTGACGCAGGGCGGATTCCACGCAGGGTCAAGAACTGGCTAACTGGCATTGTACTCACATCAGCACTCTAGCATCCTGTATCAGATCGCGATCACAGCAGAAGGGAAGTCTTTTTTTATTTAATATATGGGAAGGTCCTCACTGTGCTGTGCTTTGAGGAATGCATCTGGCCAGTATGCGTGGAACGTGATTTCTGATGTTTCTGGAATAACACTCTTGTTATGTCTGCTGCGAGCGGGTCGTTTCTCTAAAGTCTGGCCATGCTTCTCGTTTTCTTTTTCAGAAGAGTACCAGAAAAGAAAGAAAACAGAACCCAGGCTAGGCAAAACACGGTGCGCAGCGAAAATCAGGGCCGGCAAGAACAGGCTCGGAGGTATTGGTGGGTTAAAGGGGTCTCAAGACTCTCAATGGACCACAGATCCGATTTGAAACTGATTAAAGCAGATGACACAGTTAATGTGGGGGTGGATGAAGTTAACTAGAATTGGGGTCTCTCTCTCTCTCTCTCTCTCTCTCTCTCTCTGTCTCTCTCTCCTGTCGGGGCCCCAGGCCCGGCATCGGCTTCAGGCTGTAAAAGAGGCAGGACCCCAAAAATTTGGAATCAGGGGCCCTGCACCAGACGGTTGACTGAAAGTGTCCACGGCCCTCAGTCAAAGTCACCGTGGACCCAGCCCAGGCTGCCGGTCAGACACACACTTGGTTGTTTGCAGGTACCAATACAGCATTCAGGCCAAGTGGAATTCTGCAAGTGTATGGGATCCAGGCCGTGGGCTGTGAGTCAATCTGAGCCACAGTGGGCGAAAAACCTGAGGCAGGTCTACCTGGTCAAATTCTACATAAGACCCGGGCTCCAGGGCTTGACATTCAGTCTTGCTATGCTGCCTTGACGCTAGCTGGACGCTGGTTTGATGCTGGCTGGACGCTGGCTTGACGCTGGGTCTACGCTGGCACTGTGGATGACGACGCGAGACTGCTGCCGCATGCTGGCACCTTCTTGCTTCGGTGCCAGCCTCTGCTGACGTGGTGCAAGGCCACACTGTCTTCGTTGCTGATGTGGCGCATGCCAGTCTGTCTTCATTGCTGATGTGGCATTTGCCACACTATCTACATTGCTGAGTTGGACGCAACAAGGAGGGAGATTGGGATCTGTGGATGATTGAGATAGAACGGGATACTTACCTGCTGTGGATGTCAATACTGTGCGCTGCTGAATGTCTTCACGGGAGAACTGTGCCACGTGGCACTTTTGACGTGATCTGATCTGTCAGGCTCGTTATTGGACACTGTTGCTGACGTGGAGGAGAGAGGGAAGCCCGGAGATGGAGAGGGTATTGTTGGGCTGCTATATCTGTGGTCATTTATTGATATCTCTTCCACCCTCTAATCTGTCTCTTCCCCCTCTCCTCGATTTCTCTATTGGTTACCAGGCATTGTATCACAGATCACACTCAGGATTATTTGGAGACATTGGGCCTCGCTGCACTATGCTAGACACATGAAAAATTTCAAGAGTAAGTCTAGCGCTGTCAGACTCCTGGATTGGCATCAAGTGCTGTCGTCGCTGCACTTCACCGGACTCTCGACTCTTGTGAGCATTCTTGACTGTAGGACAAAACTGAAAAGACAGTACACAACAGGGCAGCGACGATTTGTCCACCGAGACTGGAGGCCAACTTTTGAATATGCAAACCGCACGAAGGAATCCGACTGCTCTTGAATGGATTTGCAGGACGCAACATCAAGAGTTAGTGCAGCGGTGATGAACTCTTGATTTCTCAAGATTCAAGAGTAGTGCAGCGAGGCCCATTATTCAGAACTGAGATTGCTTCTATTTCGAAATCTGACGAGTATCATCAAGAATGGTTCATTACATTTTGTTTTCTGTTTTTCTCTTTTTTTTGTTGAATTTTTTTTTTGAAATGCCCCTCAAAGTTACACTTATTTGCGGAATACCCCTCTGACGGCCTACTTACCCTGATTTGCTACTGGGACCACAGAGCTTTCCTGCTGGCCCCTGTCAGTCAGGGGAGAAACTTTTTGGGATGCCCTTACCGGACCGCCGGTGCCATTTCACCGGTCACTGTGCGATATGCCCTCATGTTGGGCATGCATCTTTCCATAATGCCCTCCTGTGGGAAATTCGAATTTGGTGCTGCCGCAAAAATGTAGCTGTTTGTGACGTGGCTACCGCGGACCCGGACAACAGGCACATCCGGACTGTTTCCTGGACCAGTGTCTGGACCGGTCCGGACTGTCCGGTGATCCGGACATGTCCACACACTGGGACATCATCGGACCCGGACAGTCCGGACCTGTGTCGGGGACCCCAAAAATGTCCGGAAGACGGGGGAAAAAGAAAAAAAGAAAGGGTGTGGGGTGGCAGGCGGGTGGGGGTGGCGGGTTCGCAGGCACTGACCTGCTTTACACTT